ATATGTGTGCATTTTTCAAAAAACCCTAATTATCTCCCAAACTATTAATATTAGGTATGGGCCATATGGGATATAAAAGATGTAGAATGAGATTGTCATTTAAAAAAATGAAGTTATGGTAACATTTAACATTGAACATAAAAAACGTCAACTAGTAATATAAAATAAACTTCTTTGGTATAATCAACCATTTTTTTTGTCACTTACTTTTTAACTCATAAATAAATAAAATATTTATCTAGTCGTTTTATATTTACTATTTAATGAAAATGAGGGTAGTTCACCTCGTGGAACATCGATATAGATAGATTTTAAAAAAAAACAATACTACATTTAATAAATTACGATAGCAGATTTCATTTTCGAGATATAAACAAAAAACTACCACTAATTTGTAACCTTTATAACCATTTTCACAAATTTTTACTTCAAATATAAAACGAACAGTGGCAAATTTCGCCGTAATCGACAATTAACACCCGGGATAGAATTAATTTTTAAGTGGGTGGTTAACCCCAACTACCCCTAAATGGTGTATTCAGGGGCTTTCACCGCACGTATAAAAAAATGTCCGAACCTTATTTTGGCCCATTCTATGACTCTACCAAATTTCATGGAAATCGGTGAGACGCAGTCGTGACACTTCCCTTGTAGTATGGAAATTCGATATTTGTATTGGAAAATCCCAGGATTAACTTATGGGACAGAGCCTATGTCCTAGGGTTGTGTACAAGTTTACTGAGGGTCTTGAACAAAAAAACCATACAATATTTTTTAATAATTTTTTTAACAATGTGGAACTAAGTGAATTTGTCTCGAAAGTATTTACCTAATTTTAAAATGGACAATCAGCTCCAAAGAGGTGAATTCTGGTACACAAACGATACAAAACAATTTGCAGTAAAATGTACGTACACTTTTTATCAAATTACCACAATCCTGAAGATTGCACGAAAGGTAGTAGAAGAGGAAAAAATGGAAATATATTGTAGATTATAACGCCAACATGAACAGTGTCGATAAATTCGATCAACTTTTAGCTAACTACTAAATAGATCGTCAAAGCAACAAATGGTGGCATCGTATATTTTTCCAATTCCTAGATGCTTCTATG